TTTCTTCTTCTTTTCATTCTTCTTCTTCTTCTTTTTTTCTTCTTCTTCTTCTTTTCTTCTTCTTTCTTTTTCATTCATTCTTTCATTCTTCTCTTCTTCTTTCATTCTTCTTCTTCTTTTTCATTCTTCTTTTCATTCTTCTTCTTTTTTTTCTTCTTCTTCATTCTTCTTCTTTTCTTCTTTTCTTCTTCTTTCATCTTCTTCTTCTTCATTTTCATTCTTTTTTTTCATTCATCTTTCGTCCTTTTCATTCTTCTTTTCATTTTTTTCATTTTTCTTTTTTCTTTTTATTTTTCTTTTCTTTTATTCTTTTCATTCTTCTTCTTCTTTTTTCATTCTTCTTCTTCTTCTTTTCATTCTTCTTCTTCTTCTTCTTCTTCTTCTTCGTCGTGCCCCGTGACTGCCCAAATGAGTGAAGTGTGCGGTGATTCTAAGATCGACGGCACTCATCTGCATGTCATACTGACTGACAGTATTATTTCTCTTCCCAGCAGACTCCAAGGGCATTTAAATTAAAGGTACAGTGTTCTGCACTAATATAAAGGCTCTCTGAAGCCTAGAAACCCTTTAAATAAGTTAAATTCGCGGCGAATAAATTCGCATCGAATCGAATTTCTCCCGCAAATTCGGCGAATCGGCCGAATCGAATTTTTGAATAATTCGCTCATCTCTAGTTATCACCTTTCAGTTGTGTTCTTTTGTTTTATGTGGAAAAATATTAATAAAATTCAAAGCAAATTCACCAACCCATTTATGTCTCCATGCTTTATTTTGCTGAGAAACCATTTAGAGAAAAACACCCCCTAGCATTTCTGGCCATGGCCATCTTGAGTAAGGGCAGATAATTATTAGCCCAGAATATTTTCCAAATTGGGAGATTATATGCATGGTTGTTCGTAAGGATGAGCCTGTATCACCAAGCAAAAGCAATACGTCGTCTGCATATAACAATATTTTCTCATGGATGTTACCATATCGAAAACCCAATACCTCATCACTAGCCCAAATTTGCGCCACCAGAGGCTCAATGGCCAAAGCAAACATAGTGGGGAGAGGGGGCATCCCTGTCGAGTACACCTAGCTAGCTGAAAGGTTAGAGAAGTTGCTCCACCTTGTCTGATAGCTGCACAGGGAGAATGATATAAAAGCTTTATCCAGGTACTAAAACGTTCACCGAATCCATATCTCTCTAGAATCCTCCACAATAGTCCCATTCTATACTATCAAACGCCTTAGTTACATCAAGCGATAACAGTGCTCTGGAAGCCATGTTGTCAGCCGGTGTTTGCATATCAATAAATGATCTACATAAACTGACAGCAGTAGATGTTTGTGCATTAAACCCGCGTGATCAGGGTTCACTATTGTGGTGATGATTTTATTTAATCTGAGTGCTAATACGTTGGCTAGGATTTTCACATCAGACTATAATAAAGAGATAGGTCTATAGGAATTGGGATCAGTGGACACCTTGTCTGGCTTCAGCAGCAGTACCACTGTGGCCCTGGTCATGGAGGCTGGTAGAGTGCATCTGCCATAGGCTGCCTGAAGCACCATTAATAGTCGTGGCAACATGGAATCAGCATATAGCTTATAGACCTACATTGGGAGACCATCCTCCCCCGGGGCTTTCTTATTGGGGAACAGACTGGTCACCTTGGCAAGCTGCCCCTGCAACTTTTAATTTGTTTTTGTCCCTTTAATAACCTTATGGGTTACCAAACAATCCTTCACTACCTGCAACTCAAACACTTCTTTGCCCCTTATATCTGGTGCCATTGAACCAAGTGACACCATTTGATTGTATCTGTAAGTATGATCCTCACACCTCAGGTCTCATCTCTCTTCTCTTTATACAACTACTTCTTAAGCTCAATTCCCACCTCCCTACCTATGCATTTTGGTAGGAAGTGGACCTTGGAAACTCCCTGGGGACAGAATTATGGAATACCATCTGGAGTGCCACTAAATCCTCCTCACAAAATATTGTGGCCATGGAGACCAACTATAAAGTCACCTGATGGTAGTTTGGTCACACTTATTCACCAGCATGCTTTTGTGACTGCTGAGCCACTGGCATGTATTTTCATTTATGGTGGTAATGCACAGCACACAATTTTTCTGGACGGAAATATTTAATATACTCTCTAGGCTCTTGTAATGCCTTTAAAATGCGTTGGCCTTTGTTTCTTGGGTAATTTTTTACAATAAAGCATTGTTGCCCAAATGCCAGGAGCATAAAAAATGACTGATGGCATTTCTCTGAGCTAAAGGAACAGAGTCACCATTGAATCACAAGACATTAGACTGCTTATAGAAAGATAAGAACTTGTTTGTGGGATTGAACGTATTTATGATATCTAGCAATGTCACATTCGAAGATAAGAACCTGTTTAACGATGTCTGCTTGCTTGAGAAGTTAGAAATTTTAAGTTTAGGGTAGATTGATCTGAAGCAAAAGTGTGACTTTTTAGATAACAATGTTGATTCAATATGGTGGCTGGGCGTGACTCTGTTATCCTCACGGAACCTTTCTGCTAGCTCCTCCTAGAGTGAGTGTGGTGCCTGCCCATTTCAGGAAAGCTGCCAGGAAAATATTTAAAAGCCGGGAGTTTAAACGGGATCGATTGGTAGCCTCCTATTGACAGAGGACACTCTGACGCTGGGACTCTTGCCAAGGCTATATGGGCTCATCGATTGGTCGCATTCATGCTTCCCCGTGACCCCCTATGCAGTATGGTTCCGACGGGATCTGTTCCTTCCCACCTTCACATAGCTTCGGTAATGTATGAATTCTCTGCTGTGAGCTGTCAAATGATGTTTTCTATTTCATGCTGTAATGCCCACATTAATATTGGTGTGTGTTCTTATGCAGATTGTGATGACTATAAGATATATCCTCCTGTGTGTCGTGTGATAATAAAAGTGGAGGTTTTGACAGTGCAAGAATATTGCAGTTGGATTCTGTTATTTCTTGGAGTGCCGGGTGAATGCTATGATGTACCAGGGCAGGTGTTAATTTGGTAGAGGGTCTTTCACATGCGTGGAATATGTAATGGTGTAAATGCTGGTTAAAAGTACCTGCGTGTGACAACCTGTCAATTGTGTGTGTGTATATGACTTGCTTTTAGTTTTTTCACCCAGCATGGCATTACAGCTCTTTTCACCCATAATACCCCAGATCCTCTTATAGCTTTTCTCAACACAGAATCACCAAACGTAACCTCTAACCAGTATAAATTATTACTAAAATTAACTACTGCTGCTAATCAAACTGTGGTGAGGGCTTGGAACTCCTCTTCCCTCAGTGTAGTGGAGACCCAATTACCCAAGCGATGATTCATGCCAAAATTAAATATATCTAGATAAAGTATATAATCACGAAAAACTCTGGCAACCTTGGGTAGCTCAGTTTCTGCCCCCTAACGTTGAGGACTCTTTACAACTGCCTTAAAAGCCCAACAATGTCACTCCCACATCCCACATACAGGGATTCCGATGTCATATCACTTCTAGGAAATATCCCTCCTCCCCCCTTCCCTTCTCACTCTTTTTTTGGTCCTGCCTTATCTGCTAACTTGGTACTAATACATACATGAATGTTCCCCACCATCACTTCTTACACGAGTCTCATCTTCCCATGATCTGCAATGACTCAGTTTTTTGTTTCTTTGGTACCCATTACCTGAGGCTATAGCATAGTGACTCTTCAGCTCATCGCTATCCTGATATTGTGTTTCCCACATAAGGTACTTAATCCCTCTCTTGGTATTTCACACCTCACAAGTTTTTATCTAAACACTTATCTGCATGGAATGTACCAACTGATTTATTCATTGTGCACCATAAATTTTTTGGCAATTTCAAACACTGTTTATTTTTTATTTTTTTGTAACTTCTGCAATTTTTAAATTTTTCTATATAAACCATTGAACAAGAAAAAAATGTTTAGGCTTTAGAACTAGTTAAAGGTGGAACTTCACTCTCTCAATCAACACTGACTACTTTTGAATCCTTATGCTGCTAGCATTAGTAAATAGATAGGAAAGCATATCATATTTATTTGTTTTAAACTGATTTTTACATTTCTGTAGTTACTTCCTGATTTCTATGCATAGGTAAATGGTGTCATACATCCCAGGAATCTTCAGGAGAAGAAGGAGCTTTCTCATCTAAGCACACCCTCCTGTCTGCATGCCTGAGCTAAGGAAAGGTGGCTATCAGGAAGAATTGCTAAATTAATTAACTTGCCTAAGTCAGCCCTGCTGCCACTTGATGGGGTCATGGACCCAGCAATGTCTACTTTCTGTCCAGTTATAATAACATCCTCCTTTAAATACCTGGGTGTTCTCATTAGTTCCAATTGACTAGACTACTCTTGATTAAATCTAGCCCCGTTGCTGACTCGATTTAAAGACAAGGTGAAGATATGGTCTAAGTTCTGGTTGTCTCTGGCAGGTAGAGCGGACCTTATAAAAAAGGTATTTATGCCCCAATTGCTATATTTTCTTCATGACTTGCCAGTAATGATTCTGTTGAAAACTCTCTCGATTATAAATACTATTTTTCGCTCCTTACTTTGGGGAAACTGCCTACCACAGATACGGATAGAAGTTACAATGTCCAAAGGATAATGGGGGGATAGCTTTGCCCAATCCCTGGTTGTATTATCTGGCTTGCCAGGGGCAACATCTGTATAAAAGGTATGGCAGAAGGAGACACCACTAGTGCTATGGCTAATGATTCTATGCTACAAGTGATGTTACATTGTACAGCCTCTGGTTCATTACTGGAAGGTCTTGAGGCTCAATCGTTTTGTAAACCAAATAAGTCCTTCCCTACCTATCGACTAATGCATAAAATTTGGGTCAAGGTCAAGCAGCTGCAGCAGGTTACAGGTCCCGTTGCATATAGTCCAGGGGCGGACTGACAACTCATGGGGCCCCTGGGCAATAGGAGATCATAGGGCCCCTGTGTCCTTGCCCAAACTCAAATAAGACTATGAAAATGGTACCAGGGGCATCTCATGGGGCCCCCTACTGACCCCGGGCACTCGGGCAGTGCCCGAGTTTCCAAATGGTCAGTCCGCCCCTGATATAGTCCCATATGGAATAATGCGGCATTACCAGAACTAGCCAAGCTAGAATATGCCTCTAAGTGGAAATTCTATGGGATAACTCATTTGAAACATATATTCGACAGTGGTCAACTCACATCATTTTATACATTGAAGTCCAGGTATAATTTACCGTCTACAATGTTATTTTATTACATACAGTTAAAACATGCAGTTGCCGCACAAGGCCCGTCAGCCTTATGGCACTCCCCCCCACCCCCATTTTGAATTATTTGCATTATTAGTCACAACTACCAAAGGGATTATTTCTCGCTGCTATACCATGCTTCTGTCAGACTACTTATAAAAATACCCAAATAGGGCTAGTGGGAGCAAGATGTGGGGGCTTTTGAGGAAGACAAGTGGGAAGCTGCTCTGCAGTATATCCATCTTAGCTTGCTGACAGTTTCTCACCATATATCACAACTGTATATTGTACTTAGGGCTCATTATACACCAGCTAAAATGTGTATGATGGGGCTACGGTAGGACCCTCTTTATGGCAGATGTAAGTGGGACCATGGGGATCTTATTCACATGCTATGGCGGTGCCCGAAACTTCATCAATACTAGAAGGAAGTGGTCAACACTCTTAATTTAGTGTTTCAAACTAACCTAATTGTAGACCCTAAACAATGCATTTAAAGGTATTTTAAATAATGTCACCTAAGATAAATTTATAATAGAACCCCTGTTCTAGGTGCGCAAGGCTATTCTTGTGCATTGGATATCAGAAACTTCCCCTACTATGGAGGATTAGAGGCAGAATATGGCAACCATCTTATTATACGATCATTTAATTTACCAACATCGTGGGTGCCCAGGTAAATTTGAGAAACTTTGGGAAGCATGGTTGGCCACTCTGGGTCGAGCCCCATTTGATTTGATAATGCATAGGCTGTTGTAATTATCCTTTCATGATGTGCTCTGCCTGCTGTGTTGTTTGCCTCAATTATCATGTAGGGAGATCTATCTGCTTTATTTTTCACTGGTCCACTGCTGGAGAGGAACATCTGCTGCTCTGTGTGTGTGGTTCTGCATATGCCTTTCCTGCATAACAATACCACAATATTGTTGAACTTATTTATTCATTGGACAACTGGTAACAATTTTATTACAGTACTTTTGTTCATGGCTGATTCTTTCATACTGTTTTATATATTGTACTATATTCTGTACTTTGTATGCCTTAAACATTAATAAACAATATTTCTGATTTTAAAAAAGAAAAAGTCACAGGGGTAGTTAGTTTGTAGGCTCTAATCATTTTGCTGGCCTGGAAATAATTTGACCAGGCCTGGAAAGAGAAGGGGAAACCTAAGCTGGGTAGAACAATGGATTATTAAGGAAAGACAGTAAGGTTATTTAGGGAGAAAGTATGCCATGTCGTAGTTTGAGCCTGTCCCTGACAGCAAGATTCATTATTGGATTAGAGACAGTGTTGCAATCAGAGAAGTTTAGTCAAAGTAAGTTGGCCACTGATAAAGGGTCACAGTCTATGGACTCAAGGCCTACCAGAGTGGTATTTTGGTAGCTGTGCTGAGTGGGCTGTGTACTAATATTTTATGAAGTTGGGTAACCTAAAGTCACCTCAAAGTTTAGGGCTCTCAAGTGTATTTAAGCCTAGACATTTTTTTTACCCTAAAGCTCTAAACATTACCAGAATTTAAAAATAGGATTCATATCCATTAGACTTTAATTGAATTCACTGCTAAATTTGTATTTAATGAATTTCAGACAGGATTTACAGAATCCCTGGCAGATCAAACATGGGCAGTTTTACTCATTCCTACTAAAATGGTTTGGAGTCATAATTAGTAGCAAAAGCCAAACAATTATGCAGCTTGTACACATCAATTCCTCTGACTATATGGATCATTATAGGAATAAGTACTGGTTCACACCAGAACCACGTTCAAAATGCACTGCCTTTGCAATCTTCTGTGGGTGCCAATACATTGTTAACGGCACCCCAAACACAGGTCACAAACGCAGTGTGTTCACCTGCACCTAACTGCATTGTACTGCAGTATGCAATTTGTGTGCAGTGCGTTTTTGAAAAGCAGTGCATGCACTACTTATTTTGTAATACAGTGTGATTTCAGCCCAAATGAATAGGCTGCAAAATCGCACCACACTGAATCACATAGGAACACATTGTAAACCAGGGCCTAATGAGCATCAGATTAAAATAATTTTCCAACTCTCATGTGTGGGATATACAGTACAGGGCAGAAAATGTCCAAACAAAAATCAGGTGTTTTTCAGAAGCTGTGTATTTGTATAGACCAAAGAACTGGCATATTGCACAGTTAAAAATAGACCTGTTACAATATTAACAAATTAGCCTACTTGATTAGGTGTGGTTTTAGATGTTTATAAATTATCACCTAATAAATATTATTTTTTTTGAAAGATATAGCTGTCTAAAATGGTTTTGTGCTGATGTGCCAGGTTAAGTTGTAAGCATGAAAAATAGACTCAATATACCCTTTCAAACTAAGAATTATATGAAAACAATGAACTATTTATTTATTTTGTCAAATCACTCTGCCAGCCATATGCCACCTCAATCAGCAAAAGGACAATGCTGTTGACAGGTTGACCCCCTAACTGTTACTACTAGAGATGAGCGAAGAAATGAAAAATTCGATTCGACTGATTCGGCGAATTCGTGGACAATATTCGATTCGAGTCGAATAAATTCGCTGTGAATTTAACTTAAAAAAGGGTGTTTCTAGGCTTCAGAGAGACTTAATATTAGTGCAGAACACTGTACCTTTAATTTAAATGCCCTTGGAGTCTGCTGGGGCGAAGAGAAATAATACTGTCAGTCAGTATTGACATGCAGATGAGTGCCGTCGATCTTAGAATCACCGCACACTTCACTCATTTGGGCAGTCACGGGGCCAAAACCAGAGTGTGGAGCCACAGTGTGGCGGTGGAGGCAGCAGCAATGGGAGGCCATACAGCACCCTATGACAAAAATGGAAACCCACCAGCAGTGTGAGGAGACCTGAAAGTGGCACATGGCAGAGTGTGGCGATAGAGACAGCAGCAATGGGAGGCCGTACAGGGACCCATGACACACTCTGACCTGGCAGCAGCATGAGGAGGCGGTACAGGGGCCCATGACACAGATTACGGGCCTGGCAGCAGCATGAGGAGTCGGTACAGGGGCCCATGGCAGATTACGGGCCTGGCAGCAGCAATGGGAGGCCGTACAGGGACCCATGACACACTCTGGACCTGGCAGCAGCATGGGGAGGCGGTACAGGGGCCCATGACAGATTACGGGCCTGGCAGCAGCATGAGGGAGTCGGTACGGGGGCCCATGACACACTCTGGACCTGGCAGCAGCATGAGGAGGCGGTTACAGGGGCCGCATGACAGATTACGAGCCTGGCAGCAGCAACTTGGACAGGAGGACGTTCAGCTTCTGCACCGTCGGGTGCGTGCTCGCAAACTGTTGTCTCTTGGAAACGGATTCCAAGAAAGACTGCTGACGGAATCCGTGAAGAGGAGTAGCAGGAGAAGGAGCATCTGAAACGAGGCGGAATATGCCAACAAGCGACAACAGTGGCCCATGACAGATTACGGGCCTGGCAGCAGCATGAGGAGTCGGTACGGGGGCCCATGGCAGATTACGGGCCTGGCAGCAGCTGATGGGAGGCCCGTAATCTGCCAGCACCCTATGACAAAAAAATGGAACCCACCAGCAGTGTGAGGAGACCTGAAAGTGGCACATGGCAGAGTGTGGCGATGGAGACAGCAGCAATGGGAGGCCGTACAGGGACCCATGAGAGACTCTGGACCTGGCAGCAGCATGAGGAGGCGGTATAGGGGCCCATGGCAGATTAGGGGCCTGGCAGCAGCTATGGGAGGCCCGTAAATCTGCCAGCACCCTATGACAAAAAATGGAACACACCAGCAGTGTGAGGAGACCTGAAAGTGGCACATGGCAGAGTGTGGCGATGGAGGCAGCAGCAATGGAGCCGTACAGGGGACCCATGAGAGACTTTCTGGGACTTGGCAGCAGCATGAGGAGGCGGTATAGGGGCCATGGCAGATTAGGGGCCTGGCAGCAGCTATGGGAGGCCCGTAATCTGCCAGCACCCTATGACAAAAAATGGAACACACCAAGCAGTGTGAGGAGACCTGAAAGTGGCACATGTTTGGGGCATGATTCATGGCGGATTTAGTCAGTTGTGTCAGGAACTGGTGGTTTGAAATCCAGACTAATCCACGCCTGATTCATTTTCACAAACGTGAGTCTCTCCACACTTTGGGTGGACAGTCGTGTCCTCCGCGGAGTTTGCAATACCTCCTGCCGCACTAAACACGCGCTCCGATGCCACGCTACTGGCCGGGCATGACAGCCTTTCAAGGGCAAATTCAGCTAGTTGGGGCCAAAGGTCAAGTTTCGTGCCCAGTAGTCAAGGGGATTGTCTACCTCGGTTGGCAGGGTGCTGTCCAAGTAGGCCTAAGCCTGTTGTTTGAGGTCCTGCTCCAGGTCCACCTGATGCTGCTGCTGCTGCTGCGGCTGGTTAGTAGTTTCCTCACTGCGCTGGTGAAGAAAGCTACTCATCATCGACTGCAGGATCTGGAGGCAGCCGCTGCTGGTGGAGCTGCCACTGCTCCTACCACCCCACCCCTCCCCTGCTGCCATGGCAGCGGAAACACAAACAGCGCACAGGGCCCACAGTGTCTGAGGATGGACGTTGGCGCAGACAGGCAGAGACCAGCTGACTACATAGGTGTTTTTTATAGTACGTTATTTTTGGCCTCCCTCTCAGCAGGTGTGAAAAGGCCACCATTTTTAGAACGGTAGCGAGGGTCTCAACAAGGTGGACAGCCAAAAGTCATCCCTCTGTCTGATGGTTATTATTCGGCCCTGTCGCTACGTACGCAAGCAACCGAGCATGCTATGGGCCATTTGTGCCAAGGATGCATGCGAGGGACTCCCTGCCTCCATCTCCACAGCATACTGCCACGGTGCGTCTAGGTCCTCTGTCTCCTCTTCCTCCTCCTCTACCAGATGCTCCTGCTCCTCCACTCCTGTGTCCGCTGAGTGGAAAAAACCACCCAATTTCACTCAATAATTCCTGAGCACCCAATGTCCTCCTCTACCTCCTCCTCTTCTTCCAGTCCTGCCCCCACAGGGGCCATTGTGGCGTTGAGATCTGTGGAGGGACGCCACGTCTACCGCACCCTGACCACCATTGTTAACAGCATTTGTTCCAGGGACGTGCAACAGAGGAATGACGTCGTTCATCCCATAGTCCTGCCGACTCACGAATAGCGTGGCCTCCTCTCAAAGGGCCTGAGCAAGCGCAGGTGTCACGCATGAGCTGCCAATGGCTGACATCTAAGTTACACAGGGAGTACCTTTATCTGCTTTTAACATCAGGAAATCTGTGATGGCCTTTTGCTCCGTTTCGTAAAGGCGGTCTAACATATGTAGGGTTGAATTCCACCTTGTTGCAACGTCACAGCATGAGGAGTCGGTATAGGGGGCCCATGGCAGATTAGGGGCCTGGCAGCAGTTATGGGAGGCCCATAATCTGCCAGCACCCTATGACAAAAAATGGAACACACCAGCATTGTGAGGAGACCTGAAAGTGGCACATGGCAGAGTGTGGCGATTGGAGACAGCAGCAATGGGAGGGCCGTACAGGGACCCATGAGAGACTCTGGACTGGCAGCAGCATGAGGAGGCGTGGGTTAGGGGCCTACGGCAGATTAGGGGCCTGGCAGAAGCTATGCGTCGGAGGCCCGTAATCTGCCAGCACCCTATGTCAAAAAATTCAACACACAGCAGTGTGTGAGGAGACCATGAAAGTGGCACATGGCAGAGTGTGGCGATGGAGACAGCAGCAATGGGGAGGCCCGTACAGGGACCCATGACAGACTCTGGACTTGGCAGCAGCATGAGGAGGCGGTATATAGGGGCTTATGGCAGATAGGGGCCTGGCACAGCTATAGGAGGCCCGTAATCTGCCAGCACCCTAAGGTCAAAAAAAACTTCAACACACCAGCAGTGTGAGGAGAGACCTGAAAGTGGCACATGGCAGAGTGTGGCGATGGAGACAGCAGCAATGGGGGCCGTACAGGGACCCATGGACAGACTCTGAACTTGGCAGCAGCATGAGGAGGCGGTTTATTATAGGGGCCCATGGCAGATTAGGGGCCTGGCAGCAGCTAAGGAGGCCCGTAATCTGCCAGCACCCTATGTCAAAAAAAATTCAACACACACCAGCAAGTGTGAGGAGACCTGAAAGTGGCACATGGCAGAGTGTGGCGATGGAGACAGCAGCAATGGGAGGCCGTTACAGGGACCCATGACAGACTCTGGACTGGCAGAGCAGCATGAGGAGGCGGTATATAGGGCCCATGGCAGATTAGGGGCCTGGCAGCAGCTATGGAGAGGCCCGTAAATCTGCCAGCACCTATGTCAAAAAATTCCTAACACACCAGCAGATGTGTGAGGAGACCTGAAAGTGGCACATGGCAGAGTGTGGCGATGATGAGACTCAGCAGCAATGGGAGGCCCCGTACAGGGTACCCATGACAACAGACTCTGGACTTGGCAGCAGCATGAGGAGGCGTATATAGGGGCCCATGGCAGATTATTAAGGGCCTGGCAGCAGCTATGGGAGGCCCGTAATCTGCCAGCACCCTATGTCAAAAAAATTCAACACACCAGCAGTGTGTGAGGAGACCTGAAAGTGGCACATGGCAGAGTGTGGCGATGGAGAAAGCAGCAATGGGAGGCCGTACAGGGACCCATGAGAGACTCTGGACCTGGCAGCAGCATGAGGGAGGCGTGTATATACGGAGGGGCCCATGGCAGATTAGGGGCCTGGCAGCAGCTATGTGAGGCCCGTAATCTGCCTGCACCCTATGTCAAAAAAAAAATTTTAAACACACCTGCAGTGTGAAGAGACCTGAAGTGGGCACATGGCATGAGAGACTCTGACCTGGGCAGCAGCAGGAGGAGCGGTGGTATAGGGGCCCATGGCTGATTAGGGGCCTGGCAGCAGCTATGTGAGGCCCGTTATATCTTGCCAGCACCCTATTGTCAAAAAAATTAAACACACCAGCAAGTGTGAAGATACCTGAAAGTGGCCACTATGGCAGCAGAGTGTGGCGAATGGAGACAGCAGCAATGGGAGGCCGTACAGGGACCCATGAGGAGACTCTGGACCCTGGCAGAGCAGCAAGGAGGGTAGGTGGTATATAGGGGCCTCTATGGCAGATTAGGGGCCTGGCAGCAGCTATGTGAGGCCCGTAATCGTGCCTGCACCCTATGTCAAAAAATTTAAACACACCAGCAGTGTGAAGAGACCTGAAAGTGGCACATGGCAGCAGAGTGTGGGCGATGGAGACAGCAGCGCAATGGGAGGCCGTACAGGGACCATGACAGACTCTGACTTGGCAGCAGCATGAGGAGGCGGTATATAGGGGCCTATGGCAGATTAGGGGCCTGGCAGCCAGCTATGTGAGGCCCGTAATCTGCCTGCACCCTATGTCAAAAAATTTAACACACCAGCAGTGTGAAGAGACTGAAAGTGGCACATGGCAGCAGAGTGTGGCGATGGAGACAGCAGCAATGGGAGGCCGTACAGGGACCATGACAGACTCTGGAACTTGGCAGCAGCATGAGGAGGCGGTATATAGGGCGGGACCATGGCAGATTAGGGGCCTGGCAGCAGCTATGTGAAGGCCCAGTAATCTGCCTGCACCCTATGTCAAAAAATTTAACCACACCTGCAGTGTGGAAGAGACCTGAAAGTGGCACATGGCAGCAAGAGTGTGGCGATGGAGACAGCAGCAATGGGAGGCCGTACAGGGACCATGACAGACTTGACTGGACCCTTGCAGCAGATGAAGGAGGCGGTATATAGGGGCCCATGGCAGATTATGCGGCTTGGCAGCAGCTATGTGTGGCCAGTAATCTGCCTGCACCCTATGTCAAAAAATGTTAACACACCAGCAGTGTGATGAGACGCTGAAAGTGGCCCACATGGCAAGCAGAGTGTGGCGATGGGAGACAGCAGCAATGGGAGGCCGGTACAGGGACCATGACAGACTCTGGACCTTGGCAGCAGCGATGAGGAGGCGAGTATATAGGGGCCCATGGCAGAATTAGGGGGCTGGCAGCGCAGCGCTATTGTGAGGCCCGTAATTCTGCCTGCCCACCCTATTGTCAAAAAATTTAACACACCTGCAGTGTGAAGAGACCTGAAAGTGGCACATGGCATGAGTGGAACTCTGGATCTGGCAGCAGCCAGGAGGAGGCGGTATGTCGGGGGCCGATGGGGTGATTAGGGGCTGGGCAGCAGCTATGTGAGGCCCGTTATCTTGCAAGCAACCGTATGTCACAAAAATTTATCACACCAGCAGTGCGTGAAGAGAACCTGAAAGTGGCACATTGGCAAGCTGAGTATGTTAGATGTGGCGATGGATGACAGCAGCAATGGGAGGCCGTACAGTGGAACCCATGATGAGACTCTGGCACAATTGGCAGCAGCTGGAGGAGGTGTAGGGTATATAGGGGCCCATGGCAGATTAGGGGCCTGGCAGCAAGCTATGTTGAGGCCCCCGTTGTAATCTGCGCTGCACATAATGGTCATGAAACATTTAACACACACAGGACAGTGTGAAGAGACTCTGAATGTGGCACCATGGCAGCCAGAGTGTGTGGCGTTGGGAGACCAGGCAGCAATGGGGATGCTCGTCGTACAGGGACCATGAGTCAGACTTGGGACTTGGCTGCAGCATGAGGGAGGCGGGTATATAAGGGCCCCATGGCAGATTAGGGCCTGGCAGCAGCATTGTGAGGCCCGTAATCTGCTGCACCCTATGTCAAATAATTTAACACGACTAGCAGTGTGAAGAGACCTGATAAGTGGCACATGGCAGCAGACGTGTGGCGAGGATGGAGACGCAGCTGATTGGGAGGCCGTTACAGGGACCATGGAGAGAACTATGGACTTGGCTGCAGCCATGAGGAGGCGGTGGTAGTATAGGGGGCCCATGGCAGATTAGGGGCTGGCAGCAAGCTATGTGAGGGGCCCGGTTATCTTGTGGGCAGCAGACACTATGTCCGCAAAAAATTTAAACACACCAGCTAGTGTGGAAGAGACCTGAAAGTGGTCACATGGCAGCAGTAGTGTGGCGATGGATGACAGCAGCAATGGGGAGGACGTACAGGGGAACCCATGATGAGAATCTCTGGAACCTGGCAGCAGCAGGGAGGATGTGGTAATATAGGGGCCCATGGCAGATTAGGGGCCTGGCAGCAGCTATGTGAGGCCCGTAATCTGCCTGCGACCCAATATGTCAAAAAATATAACACACCAAGCAGTGTTGATAGAGGGACCTGAAAGTGGACACTGCAGCAGAGTTGTGGCGATGGAGACTGCATGCAATGGGAAGCCGTTACAGGTCCATGACAGAACTCTGGACTTGGCAGCAGCATTGAGGAGGAGGTGTTGTGGTAATATAGGGACCCATGGACAGATTAGGGGGCCTGGCAGCAGCTATGTGAGGCCCGTAGTCTGCCTGCACCCTATGTCAAAAAAAGTTAAACACACCAGCCAAGTGTGAAGAGACCTGAAAGTGGCACATGGCAGCAGAGTGTGGCGGATGGAGACTAGCAGCAATGGGAGCCGTACAGGGACCATGACAGACTATAGGACTTGGCTAGCATGCAATGAGGAGCGCGGTATGGGTTATATTAGGGGCCCATGGCAGAATTCAGGGGCCTGGGCAGCAGCCTATGTGAGGCCCGTTATCTTGCAGCACCTACAGTCAAAAACATTAAACAACGCACCAGCAGTGTGAATGAGACCTGGAAAGTGGCAGTATGGCAGCAGAGGTGTGCGATGGAGACAGCAGCACATGGGACCGGCCCGTACAAGGGACCATGAGAGAATACTCTGGACTTGGCAGCAGTCATGGGAGGAGGCGTATATGGTATTATAGGGTGCCCATGGCAGATTAGGGGCCTTGGCAAGCAGCTATGTGAGGCACGTTATCTTGCAGCATCCCTATGTCAAAAAATATTAAACCACACCAGCAGTGTTGAAGAGACCCTGAAAGTGGCCACATGGCAGCAGAGTGTGGGATGGAGACAGCAGCAGTATGGGAGGCCGTTACAGGGGAACCATGAGATGACTCTAGGACTTGGCAGCAGCAATGAGGAGGCGGTTTTATAGGGGCCCAATGGCAAGATTAGGGTCCTGGCAGCAGCTATGATGAGGCCCGTAATCGTGCCTGCACCCTTATGTCAAGAAAATTTAACACACCAGCAGTGTGAAGAAGGACCTGGAAAGTGGGCCACATGGCAGCAGAGTGTGTGCTGATGGAGGACAGCAGCAATGGGAGTGCCGTACAGGGACCCCATGAGAGGACTCTGAGACTTGGGCAGCAGCATGAGGGAGGCTGGTATATTAGGGGCCATGGCCAGGTTAGGGGACTGGCAGCGAGCTATTGTGAGAGCCCGTACTCTGCCTGCACCCTATGTCAAAACAATTCTAACACACCAGGCAGTGTGAAGAGACCTGAAAGTGGCCACATGGCAGCAGAGGTGGTTGGCGATGGAGAACAGCAGCAATGGGGAGGCCGTTACAGGGACCCATTGCGAGAGACGTCTGGATATTGGCAGCAGCATGTGGAGGCTGTATATAGGGGTCCTATGGCAGATTAGGGGCCTGGCAGCAGCTATGTGAGGGGCCCGTAATCTGCCCTGGCACCCTATGTCAAAAATATAAACCCAACCAGCAGTGTGTAGAGACTGAGAAAGTGGCACATGGCCAGCTGTGTGTGGCGATGGAGACAGCAGCAATTGGGAGGCCGTTTACAGGGGACCATGGGAGGAAGACTCTGGGAACCTGGCCACAGCTGTGCAGGAGGAGAGTGTGGTATATAGGGGCCCATTGGCAGATTAGGGGCCTGGCAGCGAGCTATTGTGAGGGCCCGTTAATCTGCCTGCACCCTATGTCAAAAAATTTTAATACACACCAGCAGTCGTGAAGAGATCCTGAAAGTGGCACATGGCAGCAGAGATGTGTGGCGATGGAGACATCAGGCAATGGGAGAGCCGATACAGGGACCCATGAGAGGACTCTGGGACCCTGGCGCCGCAGAAGGAGGAGGTGGGTATATAGGGGGCCTATGGCAGATTAGGGGCCTGGCAGCAGGCTATAGGAGGGCTCCGTTAATCTGCCAGCACCTATGTTCAAAAAATTCAACACACCAGCAGTGTGAGGAGACTGAAAGTGGCACATGTTGTTGAGGCATGATTCATGGCGGGGCGGATTTTAGTCAGTTGTGTGCTTGGAAACTGGTGGTTTTGAAAATCCAGGGGGAACTAATCCTACGCCTTGAGTGTTCATTTTCACAAACCGTGAGTCTATCTCACAGACTTTGGGTGGACAGTCGTGTCTCTCCGCGGAGTTACAATAACCTGCCTTGCCGCACTAAACACGCGCTCCGATTGCCACGCCTACTGGCCGGGCTTGACGCAAGCCTTTCAAGGGCAAATTTCAGCTAGTTGGGGCCAAAAGGTCAAGTTTCGTTGCCCAGTACAGTCATGGGGAGTGTCCTACCTCGGTTGGCAGGGGTGCTTGTCCAAGTAGGGACCAAGACTGTTGTTTGAGCTCCTGATCCAGGTTTCCACCTGATGTCTTGCTGCTGCTGCTGCGTGATGGTTAGTAGTTTCTCATCACTGCGCTGGTGATGAAAAAGCTACTCATCAAGTCGACCTGCTGGACTGAGGCAGGGTGGGGGGGGCCCCGCTGCTGGTGGAGCTGCCGCTGCTCCTACCACCCCACCCTACCCTGCTGCCCATGCCAGCGGTAACGCGGGGAGCGCACCAGGGCCACAGTGTCTGAGGAATGGACGGATGGCGCACAAAGGTCAGAGGGACCAACTGACTACTCTAGGTGGTTTTTATAGTACGTAAATTTTGGCCTCACTCTCAGGCTAGGTGTGAAAAAGGCCTCACCATTTGTGGAGCGTGTAGGCGAGGGTCCAACAAGGTGGACAGCCAAAAGTCATCCCTCTGTCTGATGGTTATTATTCGGTCTGTCGACTACGCAAGCAAACCGAGCATGCTTATGGGGCCATTTGTGCCAAGGAATTGCGATGTGATCCCTGCCTCCAATCTCCACAGCAATTACTGCCTCGGTGCGTCTGGGTCCTCTGTTCTCTCATACTCCTCCTTCTACCAGTGATGCTGTCCTGCTCCTCCAACTACTGTCCGCTTGAGTGGAAAAACCACCCATTTCACCTAGAATAATACCTGAGCACAAATGTCCTCCCTGCTACCTCCTCCTCTTCTTCCTGTTCCTGGCCCCCACAGGGGTCAATGTTGGAGTTGAGAATCTGTGCGCCTCGGTCCTAGCCGCACCCTGACCAGCCATTGTTAACAGCATTTGTTCCCAGGACGTGCAACAGCGGAAATGAGTCGTGTTCATCCCTCTAGTCCTGCCGACTCAACGAAATTAGCGTGGCCTCCTCAAAGGGCCTGAGGCCATGCGGCAGGTGTCATTCGCATGAGCTGCCAAGTGGCTGGACATTCTAACGTTACACAGGGGGAGTACCTTTATCCGCTTTGTAACATCAGGAAATCGGTGCTGGCCTTTCGCTTGCTCGTAAAGGCGGTCTATAACATTGTGTAGGGTTGAATGTCCACCTTGTTGCAACCGTTAGCAGATCAGGCGATGCTGCTGGAAGTTTTGCCGTTCTGCCGCCTGGCAGCTCCAATGAGGGTGTTTCTTTGCGGTTGTAGGACAATGGCTGAAAATGCATCGACACAGTTTTACGTGACATTTTAAGGATTGTCTTGCAGTGTGGATGGTTGGAATTTTAGGAAACCGCTTGACAACCAGATTGAACACAGTGTGGCCTATGCATGGCGGCATGTGGCACGAACCTTCCTTGACGCAGAGCGAGACAAGCATCCGGCTGTTACGTTTGCCCCGTGGTCCCCCAGCTAGCCAAGGTTGTTCCATGCAGAGTGATAGCAGCTCGCATGCTCTGACTCTTCACGCGACGACATAGAGCCACTCGCCCAGCAATCCTTCTCCTGTTACATACACTCAGCAGT